GCCCAGCGCCTCTCAGAGCGCCAAAGATGCCAATCCTTCCTATTCCTTCCCCACTTTTGCATACATGTTCCTTGGTAATGTACCTATGTTTTATAGTTGTTTTCAACACTCTAAGGTACATCTAGACATCCCGAACTCATCCATAAACATGAGATCATTACCCTTGAATCCGTAATCCAATTCGAGGAAAGTTCGGATCAAAGTCAAGTGAAGTTAGAGTCAAGCTTAGAAGTTAAGAAGTAAGTCAAAGCAAGTCTTTAAAGTTTTTCAAGAGTCTTTATTGGACGTTTTAACTTCGTATTAAGGTTCAAGTTTCAAGTTAAGTAAAGATTATAGAGTTTCAAGTTAAGTAAAGAGTATAGAGTTTCAAGTTAAGTAAAGAGTATATAGTTGAGTTCATTTTCTCAAAAGTTATTAGGGAACTAAGTATTCCCAAAGAAGTTTATAAATGTTTTTACATTTGAGTAAGAAAGGAACTATGTTTTCCAAGAGAGCCTTTGGGCTAAGCTTTGAGCAATTATCTCAAACTAAAGAAAGATGTGTTTAAAACACTTATGAGCCAAAGTATTTTTTTGGGAGTAGTATTGAGCACCGAATTGGGGACGCGAGTTCATATTAACTCAACCCTTCATAAGAACTATGTAGCCAACATGGGACTTGACGGGTCATTCTTTTTAGATGATCACGTAAGTTAAGCTAGTGGATCCACTAAGTAAAGCAAGGTCCTATATCACGGCAAGGTATAGGATGCTCCTTGGGCAACGTGTGGTAAAACGTTGTATCATCACTAGGGCTCATAATGGTGGTTATCGGTTAAAGAATCTCCCACTAAAGTTATATTACTTTTATATAAGTAAAGTTGAGTTTGTTATTGCTTTATCCTTAACGAACTAAGTTATTTATAATGTTTTACAAGCTTTATGTATTGCATGTGTCTTCTTGCTTTACTTTTGAGTTCAGTCATTCATGAGTCGAACAGAGCTAAGGTAAGTGTTCTCTTGTACTCCTTTCAAGCTTAAGTTGTGGTTTAGCTTTCCATCTCGCATACTCATACATTCAATGTACTGATGCCAGTTGGCCTGCATCTTATTATGATACAGACGCAGGTACCCATGATCAGCATCCAGCACGCCGTTGATCCAGCTGAGCACTCCAGAGTCAGTGGTGAGCCTCTTTGCATTCCAGAGGACTCAGTTATTTTGTTCTCTTAGTTTTGTTTTATTAGGATGATGCGGGGTCTGTCCCAACATTCATCTCAGTGTTATAGAGACTTCATAGACAGCCAGTTAGTATTGAGTCTCTAATCTATGTATATATATAAATATTCTATCTTGAGACTCGAGTTGCCTTTTTGGCCAAGATTTTATCAGTTGGGCTGTTTTATGACCTTTCATTGCATGGAGTTATTCTGTTGAGTTAAGTTTTCCGCTGAGTTAAGTAAGCCAGGCCAAGGGTTCTCTTGGGGTCAACAATGGTCTTCGAGTGCCGTTCCCACCCAGGGTGTAGGCTCGGGGCGTGACATTGTCCAAGCGAACCTTTCCATGATTAATGAAGTCAAGTAAGAAATGACTATTTCGTGGGATTTATGCTTACCACCGAATGGATATTGATAATGATGGAAGCTTTCGTGTTAGTAGAGGCCAGGTTTCTAGAATCAATCTCGTGATATGGAAGCTCCCTCGTTAGTAGAGACCGGGTTTCTAGTATAAATCTCCTTATCCTTAACTATGTGCCCCCATAGGCTGATTTGTGTAAAGACCCGAAAAACTAGTAAGTGAAACTAGAATCTAACGATTGTGTATTGAGTTTGTAATGGGCTTGCATGTGGTTGAATGTCTTCCCAAGATTAGGTTGAGGGGTTTAGGGGTTAAACGTCATGTTGCGACTCCATAAGGACCACCAAAGGGGTCCTTGAGAAGGACCCTAAAGTTTAACCTCAAGACCCCAAGAAACCAAAAAGATCTCAAATTGGGATGACCTATGGATGGGGACCTACGCCCGATAGGTCCATCCACGCCCCGTGGATGTCCTTCGTAAGTCCAGGCCCCTATTAGTGACCCTCAGACCCAAACCACGGACCAGCAAGATGGGGCGTCACCCCACCTACGGTCCATAGGTAAGGGGTCGTAGGTCACCACTGTAATCTGCCAACTTTCGGCCAAGAGGAGGGGTTAAGTGGTAAATTCCTAATTAAGTTAGTTTAGTTGGTGGACGGTTATTTTTGAGTTATTAATGTATTTTAAGGGCTTTTCAAGTATTAAAACACATTTTTAGACTTCATTATTTCAAAGAACACAAATTAGAAACCCACCTCTCCAAAAGTTCTCTCTCTAGAGACTCCATTGAAGAGAAATTTCAAGATCAAGTCTAGGGGTCAAGGAGAAGATTTATTATTCAAATTTCGTGTGTAATTCTTCCCTAAAGGTATGTAGTCTTCATCCTTGACTTACTTTCTTTCAAGGAGCCAATTTCAAAGTTGATTTCAAGTTTCCAAATTTCCCCAAAAACCCTAGTTTTCAATCTATGCATGTGTTCAATTCCAAAATGTTTTCAAAGGTTCCTATATGATGATTTAAGATGGAATTGTTGAAATATTGATGAAATATAGTCAATTTATTCTATGAACCCATGTTTTCCCCCAAAATCCTAAGTTGTGATTTGTGATTGGAAATTGATTAGATCATGAAAATATGTTGAATTGTTTATGTTTATATTGAATTAGTTATTGAATCATGTTAATTCCCTTATCTATTGTAGTATCTTAGATGTTTGGGTTATGATTGATGTATAGCCTTGGAAGGCAATTTCATGGAGGATCTATGTATGAACATGATGTGAAGTATATGTCTGTGATCTCAATGAAAGTATAATGATCATGTTTAGAATATAATTGTGTTATGATTGAAAGCATATTCTCAATTAACACTCATGAATGATGATGATAATATGTGAAGGGTTTCTATAATGTGAAGTTATATCTTGAATTGGTAGGCTTAGGCATCCTATTCTTGTATAAATGAATGTAATGTTGATTGATGTATCTTGCATTGGTAGGCTTAAGGCACCTTTTTATTGTATTGATGAATGTGATATTGAATGAATCATCTTGAATTGGTAGTCTAAGGCATCCTCTTCTTGTATAATGAATGTGTCTTGACTTGATGAATATGAATCGATAGGCCTATGGCATTCCTTTCAGAAATGAAGTAATGTAATGATGACTATTGAATCGATAGGCCTATGGCAATTCTTTCTGATTGAGTCAATGTACCATGAATCGATAGGCTTATGGAATTCCTTTCATGTGTATAATAATGTAATGAGGAATCATGAGTCGATAGACTTATGGAATTCCTTTCATGAGGACTCTAGACCTATCCTAATAATGAACCATGAATCAATAGGCTTATGACATTCCTTCATGTGTAATGATGTAACTTGGGTCGATAGGACAATGGCATTCCTCTCAAGTTCAATTATGTAATATGAATGAAATACGCTGTGGGAATGGAGACTAAGCACCGAGTGGATATGGTAAGATAGAAACTCTCCAAATGTTAGGCTAGGGTTCAAATGAACATCTTCATATCCCATAACTATGTGCCCACATAGGATATTAGCTAGTGGATCCACTTAAGCTAAAATGATACCGGTCCTACCTTAGGCAAGTAGACCACCTCTTTACGGTGTGGGGATATATGACATCGGATTCCATGGTTTGCTCTCATGGTCTATGTCGGTTAAATGCTTATTCCCATCAAGCGAGTTGTGCATTATGGTTTCTTGAGAAGTTCTATGAAGTGTGGGTGGTAGTATGAGATGCCATCCATGCATTGCATTAGTAGGCTTTGAGAGGGTCATAGTGAGTTCTCTAATGTCTTCATGACTAATGAATGAAAGTGTTCTTAATGGAGCTAATGAAGAATGTTGATTTATATGGTAAATGTAAAGATGCATACTATACTTGGATTGTATTATAAGTTACTTCTTTGTCATGACTTATGAAATTTTTATGTCTCTTATGTATGAGTATTGTGTAAATATGGAAATGATGAATGATAAGTTCACTTTTAGTGGCCTTGATGTGGTACTTAGTGTGGATGGTGGTATGAGACGCTATTCATACATTGCACATAGTATAGCTTGGGGTTGTTTGAGGTGAAAGCTTAATGTAATGAAATGTCTTATATGGTTGATTATGTTCTAATGTGATGAAATGACTTGTATATTGGTTATGTTTGTATATTATGCCTCTTATACTTATGTTTATGAAGTTTTCTCAAATTGGCATAAAAGCATGAGTTTCAAATAAAATGTCCATTTTAAGCATGGTTTTTGCATGGCTATGATACTTAGTACTTAATTGTGCTAACCCATATTCTTCTTATTTTGCTACAAGTGTTGGTTCCGACATTTGAGTTGATTCTCTCTAGTTGAAGCTTGGATTGAGTTCTTCCAAGACTATTGGTATGTCCTCATGGATTCGAGGACAAGTACTTGATGTTTCATGTCTTTCTTTGTAATAGACTATTTCTAGACTTTCTATTGTAAAGGGCCGCGACCCTACTTTTGTTTTCAAGATGTTGTTTTAGATGGCCATGTGAGACAATAGACTTCCACTATTTTAAATAAAGTGTTTGATTGTATGGATTAAAGGAGTTTTAACTTAGTACCATTTTCCTTATATCAAATGTTATGAATGCTATGAGGCTTGTATGAGACTTTTCAGAGTCTTGTACACCGTGTCGCTTCCGGGGTATAGGCTCGTGTCATGACAAACATGGTATCAGAGCACAATATTTTGGAATGATTTTAGGATTGATGTCTCACAAGCCTCGTCTACTAGAGTCTAATTCATCGGTGTGAGTCGCGACACATCTATGAGTGTGAGGCTATAGGACATTAGAAAACTACACTTCTTTCATTATTTTTGAAGTCATGCCTTAGAGTTTAGCTCTATTAGTGTCCTTTTCCTAACCCTTCTCTTGTGTTTATAAGATATGAATACAAGGGAGAACACAAGGAGGATGGAAGAGGAGAATGTGAATGAGAGAGTTCCTCCGCAAGGTCCTCAAGGTGACCGAGTTCCTCAAGGCAATCAAGTTCCGGTGGATCCCTCAGCCATTTCCAATGAGGAAATTAGGTCGGTTTTTTTGATGATGGCTCAAGACATAACTTACTCAAGTCCAAGCCATGACGACTCAAGCTACTAGGGGTGTTGAGACTAATTTGAACCCTATTGTGAGCACTATGGCTTCTAGTTTGAGAGACTTTGTGAGGATGAATCCTCCGGTGTTCCTAGGTTATAAGGTAGGAGAGGATCCCCAAGAGTTTTTGGATGAGGTGTATAAGGTAGTCAATGCTATGGGGGTGACTTCTATAGAAAAAATAGAAATTGTTGCCTATCAATTGAAGGATGTTGCCCATGTTTGGTTCACTCAATGGAAAAGCAATAGGCCGATAGGAGCAGGTCCAATAGAGTGAGAGGAGTTTAAGAAATAATTCCTTGGTAAGAGAGGTTAAGATGGAGGAGTTTATCAACCTTAGGCAAGGTAACATGAGTGTGCAAGAGTACTCCTTGAAATTTACCCAATTGTCTAAGTATGCTTCACCATTGGTGTCAAACCCTAGGGATGAGATGAGTCGATTTGTTACGGGTGTATCCGACCTAGTTGAGGAAGAGTATCGTACAGCAATGCTCCATGATGATATGAACATTTCTAGGCTCATAGTATATGCTCAATCTATTGAGGAGTCCAAACTTAAGAGGAATAATAGGGAGTTGAAGAGGTCTAGGTCTAATGAGCAAGGTCAACCAAGGTTCTAAAAGAGGACTTCTAACCAAGATTCTTCAAGCACTCCTAGGGTTAACCAAGAGAAAGGAAGTCGGCCTCTATTTTATAAACTTACTTGCACCACTTGTGGGAAGAGGCACTATGGGAAATTCCTAGTCGATACTAATGGGTGCTATGGTTGTGGGAAGAATGATCACCAAGTGAAAGATTGTCCTACTCTTGCGGCCAAAGAAAGAGAGGCCAAGCAAGCTTCTCCTAGTATTCTGGATCCCAATGCTCTAAGGAAAAACCGTTTCTATGTACTTCAAGCTAACAAGGACAAAGGAGCTCATCCGGATGAAGGCACCGGTATGTGGTAGTTCCTTATAGTTGTGAATGTCTTGTTAAGGTCCTTATGGTGTTTTCATGGTAGCCTTAGTTTGGGTTTACTCCTAAGGGGGAGATGGTATGTTGAATAGTAAGATTGTTGAGAGTTCCAATATCCTTATCTCTTTCCTTCTATTTCTATTCAAGCTTGAGACCAAGAGTTCCATATAGATTGTTTCATGTTTTGGAGTCATGTGTGATTATGTGTTTCCATGACCTCCTTATGTTATGCATGTTCTTGATGGATTTATTTTGAAATGAGAAATTGTGTTTTTATGAATTATGTTCCTCATGTTGATATGCATTTAGTATGAGTTGCCTATATGTTTCATGAGGTTGATTGTTGAACATGCCTAAATGTGCTTTTAAGACAAATTGCATAATGTGCCTAATGATGTTATGATGAACATGATTTGAGTTGGAGAAGGTAATTCCTCCAATGAAATGAGTAATGTTGAAGTTATGATGCATAATGAGTTTGTAGATGTCGTTCCTACATTCTTGTGTTGCATGGAGTATGTTTGAAATGGAGTTGATCTTTCCTCCTAGTTTTGTGCATTGTTTATGATGTTGCATGCATGATGGGCAGCTAGTCTTGAGCCGTTAATCCCTTAATGTGTTTCAAGTGTCATTCGAGGACGAATGTTCCCAAGTGGGGATAATGTAACGACCCGGAAAACTAGTAAGTGAAACTAGAGCCTAACAATTGTGTATTGAGTTTGTAATGGGGTTGCATGTGGTAGAATGTCTTCACGAGATTAGATTGAGGGGTTTAGGGGTTAAACGTCAAGGTACGACTCCCTAAGGACCATCCAAGGGGTCCTTGAGGAGGACCCTAAAGCCTAACCCCCAAGACCCCAAGAAACCAAAAAGCTATCAAATTAGGATGACCTACGGATGGGGACCTACGCCCCGTAGGTCCATCCACGCCCCATAGATGGCCTCCGTAGATCAAGTTCCCTATTAGTGACCCCCATACCAAAACCACAGACCAGCAGGACGGGGCATCACCCCACCTACGGTCCGTAGGTAAGGGGTCGTAGGTCACCACTGTAATCTGCCAATTTTCGACCAAGAGGAAGGGTTAAATGGTGAATTCCTAATTAAGTTAGTTTAGTTGGTGGATGGTTATTATTGAGTTATTAATGTATTTTAAGGTTTTTTAAAGTATTAGAACACATTTTTAGACTTCATTATTTCAAAGCACTCAAATTAGAAACCCACTCTCCAAAAGTTCTCTCTCTAGAAACTCCATTGAAGAGCAAGTTCAAGGTCAAGTCTAGGGGTCAAGGAGCAGATTTCTTCTTCAAATTTCGTGTGTAATTATTCCCTAAAGGAATGGTAGTCTTTATCCTTGGCTTAGTTTCTTTCAAGGAGCCAATTTCAAAGTTGATTTCAAGTTTCCAAATTTCCCCAAAAACCCTAGTTTTCAATCTATGCATGGGTTCAATTCCAAAACATTTTCAAAGGTTCATATATGATTATTTAACATGGAATTGTTGAATTATTGATGAAATATGGTTAATTTATTCTATGAACCCATGTTTTCCCCTAAAATCCTAAGTTGTGATTTGTGATTGGGAATTGATTGAATCATGAAAGTATGTTGAATTGTTTATGTTTATATTGAATTAGTTATTGAATCATGTTAATTCCCTTATTTATTGTAGTATCTTAGATGTTTGGGTTTTGATTGATGTATAGACTTGGAAGGCAATTTCATGGAGGATCTATGTATGAACATGATGTGAAGTATATGCGTGGGATCTCAATGAAAGTATAATGATCATGTTTAGAATGTAATTCTGTTATGATTGAAATCATATTCTAAATTAACACTCATGAATGATGATGATATAATGTGAAGGGTTTCTATAATGTGAAGTAATATCTTGAATTGGTAGGCTTAGGCATCCTATTCTTGTATAAATGATTGTAATGTGGATTGATGTATCTTGAATTGGTAGGCTTAAGGCACCCTTTTCTTGTATTGATGAATGTGATCTTGAATGAAGCATATTAAATTGGTAGGCTAAGGCATCCTCTTCTTGTATAATGAATGTTTCTTGACTTGATGAATATGAGTCGATAGGCCTATGGCATTAATTTCATAAATTAAGTATGTAATGACCACTCTTGAATCGATAGGCCTATGGTATTCCTTTCCTAATGAGTCAATGTACCATGAATCAATAGGCTTATGGCATTCCTTTCATGTGTAATGATGTAACTTGGGTCGATGGGCCAATGGCATTCCTCTAAAGTACAATAATGTAATGTGAATGAAATACTCTATGGGAATGGAGGCTAATCACCGAGTGGATATGGTAAGATGGAAACTCTCCCAATTTTAAGCTAGGGTTCCAATGTACATCTTCATATCCCATAACTTTGTGCCCACATAGGATATTAGCTAGTGGATCCACTTAAGCTAAAATGTTACCGGTCCTACCTTAGGCAAGTAGACCACCTCTTTACGGTGTGGGGGCTATATGACACCGGATTCCATGGTTTTATCTCATGGTCTATGTCAGTTAAATGCTTATTCCCATTATGTGAGTTGTGCATTATGGTTTCTTGAGAAGTTCTATGAAGTGGGGGTGGTAGTATGGGATGCCATCCATGCATTGCACGAGTAGGCTTTAAGAGGGTCATAGTGAGTTCTCTAATGTCTTCATGACTAATGAATGAAAGTGCTCTTAATGAAGCTAATGAAGAATGTTGATTTATATGCTAAATGTAAAGATGCATGATATACTTGGATTGTATTATAAGTTATTTCCTTGTCGTGACTTATGAAATGCTTACGTCTCTTATGTATGAGTATTGTGTAAAGATGGAAAGGATGAATGGTAAGTTCACTTTTGGTGGCCTTGATGTGGTACATAGTGTGGATGGTGGTATGGGACGCTATTCATACATTGCACATAGTATAGCTTGGGGTTGTTTGAGGTGAAACCTTAATGTAATGAAACGTCTTATATGGTTGATTATGTTCTAATGTGATGAATTGACTTGTATGTTGGTTATGTTTGTATATTATGCCTCTTATACTTATATTCATGAAGTTTTATCAAATTGGCATAAAAGCTTGACTTTCAAAAATAATGTCCATTTTATGCATGGTTTTTGCATGGCTATCATACTTAGTATTTAATTATGCTAACTCATATTCTTCTATTTTTACTACAAGTGCAGGTTCCATCATTTGAGTTGATTTTCTTTAGTTGAAACTTGGATTGAGTTCATCCAAGACTATTGGAATGTCCTCATGGATTCGAGGAAAAGTACTTGATGTTTCATGTCTTTCTTTGTAATAGACTATTTCTAGAATTTCTATTGTAAAGGGTCGTGACCCTACTTTTGGTTTCAAGATGTTGTTTTAGATGGCCATGTGAGACAATAGACTTTCATTGTTTTAGATAAAGTTTTTGATTGTATGGATTAATGTGTTTTAATTTCGTACCATTTTCCTTATATTCAATGTTATGAATACTATGAGGCTTGTATGAGACTTTTTGGAGTCTTGTACGCCGTGTCACTTCCGGGGTATAGGCTCGGGTCGTGACAATTAGCTAGTGGATCCACTTAAGCTAGAAGTTCATGGTCCTTACCTTTGCAAGTAGGACAACCCTTTTCGGTGTGGGAGACACCGAGGAATCATGTTATATCTCACATGATCTCTATGTCGATTAAGGCTAATTCTCCACAAGTGATAATGAACTAAGGTTACTTCAATAAGTATCGCATATGAGTTCAAAGGTTTTAAAGATAAAGTTAGCTTTCATGGACCATGATGTTATGACTTATGTTTTCTAACTCTTTTATATCATGTTTTTGCTTGGTCAATTAAATGTCATGAAATGAAATGTTCCTTTTAGCATGATTTTAAATGTTTTATGCATGACTATCATACTTGGTACATTGTATTGTACTAACACATACTCTTGTCTGCATTTCCCCAAATGTAGGGTCGGATAGTCAAGGTCCTCAGTTTCGTGGCTAGAGGTTGCTTTGAGATACTTTCGAGATTTGGTGAGTCATCATGCTTTGAGGACGGATTTTTATTTTTTCACTTTCTTTAATTTATTTTCTCTTTTTAACATGATGTATGGGCTAGGCCCAATTTCATTCTATTGTACTAGTTGACTATGATGTGACAAGTGTACTAGACTTCCACTTTGCTTTTATAAAATATTTTGGACTTGGACTATTGTTTTACTCTTATTGTTCTATTTCTTATGTTATGAGAGATAAGTGGCTTGTATAGAGTCCTTTGGGGTTCTATACGCCTTGTTACATTTAGGGTGTACCCGTGGGTCATGACACCAATAGGGAGGCAATGATCCCCGTGAACCCAAATGTTGGTACGGTGAAAATTAGAGTGAGGGACTTCACTAGGATGAATTCTTTATAGTTTCATGGTTCCAAGGTTGAGGAAGATCTTCAAGAGTTTATTGATGAGGTGTATAAGGTGTTGATGATTATGGGAGTGATGCGGCGGAAAAGGTGGAATAGGATGCTTATCAACTTAAGGGTGTTTCTCTGGTTCGGTTCAAACAATGAAAGGAAGAGAGGGAGGTTGATGCAGGTCCTCTTTATTGGGAAAATTTTAAGGTTTCTTTCTTTGATAGGTTTTTTCCAGTTGAGATGAGTGAGGCAAAGGTACTTGGATTCATCCAACTTCGTCCAGGAAACATGAGTGTGAAGGAGTATGCCTTGAAGTTCATGTAATTTTCTAGATATGCTCCTACTATGGTTGTCGATCCTAGGGTAAGAATGAGAAAGTTTGTTTCGAGAGTTTCGAGATGGTAGTTAAAGAATATCGTACCTTTATGCTCATAAATGATGTGGACATTTCTCGTCAAATTGTTTATGCTCAACAATATAAGACGACAAATTTAAGGAAAGATCTAGATATGCAGAGAAAGCAAGGACCGGTGATGGTGACTTTTCACATTCGAGGTCAGATGGACACAGTAGTTCTAAGTTC